AGGGGAAATACAGACATTAAGATAAGACATATAATAAAATAATAAACAACATACATTGAATAAGAGCCCTTATTCAGTCTTCTTCAGGCTGTACGTAACTAAACATTCCTTCCACCTCCAAAATGTGGTGAATAGACCAGACGCAGCTTTATTTTTTCAACCTTCAGGGTTTGGTTTCCTCCTAGAAGAGCCGTCTTCCCCTCCTTCAGATTAAGCGATACTGCATGGCATTTTAGCACGTTGGAAGGAATTTGACCAAAGTAGGAAATTGAATGTGGTCAGTTTACTGGAAACTATTTATCTCTCAATCATTCTCCTCTTAACAAAGATTAATACTAACGGTATAATTACCTTCATCATGAGGTTTAAATTTAGTGAAATTAGCATATGGGGCAGTCAGCGTAATCAAAGGAGAAGGTTGAAGCAGCGTCTGCAGTTAAGTTCAAAGATGCTTCTTTCCTTCAACTTTGCTCTTCGGTTATTTTAATTTCAGGATCCTTTGTTTGTTCAATCACTGCCATATGAAAAGATCCAGGCAGACACGGTTCAGGCCAGGGGGAAATATAGGAAATAATTCACAATTGATTGCGCGGGGGGGTGGGGGTTGGCCTTGTTGTTGCTTGTGGCTCATTTGCATAATCCACTCACAATGTACCTGGGGGGCTTTTGGGGTGCATGGGAACCATTTTTGAATGATCAGGAAAAGTTTCCAGGGCTTAGTCCGTGCGGAAAGCCATTGTCCGTGGTGGGAAACGGCTTGAGCTCTGAAGGCAGCACATGAAAAGTTTGCTTGCAGTCATCCTTCTACACAACATTACGTAGCATTTTAGGGGAGAATTTGTGATCATTTATTAATTTCTTCCATATGTAGGAGAATAGGACGGTAATAAAATGCCAGCCCTCCCAGTTAAACCAGACAGGAAACGTCGCCAGGTGGTCTAATTCTACTTTATTGTCAGGCTACATTAGCAGAATCTTGCAAGTCTGAGAATACCAGTCTCCCACCGTCACTTTTCATAGTCTGATACGTTAGGCTGGGTCCTTCCTAACTTTCTTTCTTTGCCTGTTAAGCCTCTGTGGGCTCCCCGCCCTTTTCTCTGCTCCCTCCCTAGGCAGCATCTCTTCCTCTCCCTGGATGAATGGATGGGTATGATGGATGGATGGATGGATGGATGGATGGATGGATGGATGGATGGATGGATGGGCTGTTGATAAATATAGGATCACCAACATGATCGCCAACGCCCGATGACAGATACGGCCCAAGAAAAAGAAGGATGGGTGGAGTTTGAAGAAATGAACAGCATACAACTGTTATATTGTCCATGAGGCCACCTGGAGACTGGCTCAGAGATGTGACTTGTTTAGAGTTCAGCCATGATTAAAATGTCTTATACTTTATTTATTTAAATAACTTATATGGTCACCTATGTCACCTGGTCTTTTTTTTTTTGAAGATTTTTTTTTAAATGAACACAAACAGACAAAAACAAAAAAACACAAAACCATCTTCCATCACAAATTGTAGAAAATGTGACGGTTGGTTACAAAAACTTCCGTGCGTCCCTTCCACAGTCATCACCTACAATTCATACCGAATCACATATTTTTAAATCAAGTATGCAGTATTCATATACATTGCTTTCATCATACCTCTGAACTTCATTTGACTGTAATTGTTTTTACATCCTTTTATATGAAACATTCCAATTTAGAGCAAAACCACATAATGGCATTCCATTAACGTCCCCCAACATGCTACAATAAAATTGCATCTTTATAACATGTTCTAAATTTAAAAAACCATCCATTGTAAAAAAACCAGCATTGTAAAAATAAAGGAAAAAATTCTTAATCCATTGGTATATAAAAAGAAATAAAAGTAGTAGAAGAAAAACTAATCCATTCAGTTTAAAAAATAGGAAACATTTGCAAAAGTTCCATCCATAAAAAAAGATTTTTTTAAAAACAAGGATAACACACTGTCTAATGTAGCTTAATTTCGCCGCTTACTTTCTTCTGTTTTCAAATTTAATTTAACTTTGATTTTTTTGGGTAGTAGTAGTAGTAGTAGTAATAATAATAATAATAATAATAATAATAATAATAATAATAATAATAATAATAATAATAATAATAATAATANTAATAATAATAATAATAATAATAATAATAATAATAATAATAATAATAATAATAATAATAATAATAATAATAATAATAATAATAATATTTCCTCACCAATCGACACACTTTCTCTTTCCGCTTTCCTCCCATTCTGGAGCTGTCCCAACTTCAGCAGTTTCAGTGGTTGTGCTTCTAGCGCTGGCAAGAAGAGGTTCTCCTGGATCAATCAAGGACTTTGTGATGTCCCTGAGATCAGCAGGATGTACTCTTCCCTGTCACCGTCTCTGCAGGACGGTTTAGGTCCAAAATGACCGTCCAGCGACAAAAGTATTGACTGCGACCCTGGAGCTCCAAGATCGCACTTCGTGTCGTTGTGACGCTAGTCCCTCCTCGATCTATCTCACCTGGTCTTATTAGGCAACTCACAACAACAAATACAACCCACCTCCAACCCCAACTCTTAACCCAAGACCAACGAGCTGCCACTCAGATGAAGGTCTTCCTCTCTTCCCTTACAGGATCCATCCCTGTAGGCTGTGGTCATACCTAAGCCACAAATTAGATCTATCCATTGGCCTCACAAGATGTCTCCTTGGTATTAAACAGCAACAACCAGTAATCAGAGAAGGAATAAAGAAGGGATATTTATAGGATGGGGATTTAACTAAAAAGTACTGGGAGAAGAATGGAGATACAAGATTTCTGTTTACAGGAAAGTGCTGACAAGAGAAGAGTTTCTGGAGTGGGAAACATCATGATAGATTTATTTTTTCAGCAGAATCTTTTCCTTTTCAGATACCGGAACTGTGCTGAAAGTTTTGAGCATCACCAAAGAAAAATGGGACATGGAAGAGGTGATCCTAGAAGAACTACAAGTATTCAAGGTAAGCCTCCAAAAAGCAAACTATGTTTTACAAAGGATTGTAAATAGATAGTGAGATATTTGCTTTTTTATTTTATTATGACATTTATTTGCCATCCAATGACTCTGGGCAGCTAAGAAAGATTTGGGCCCAGAGGAAAGACTTCAATAACAGCAACAGTGTGTTGGCTTTTTTGTGTACGAAGAGGGAGAAAAAGAGTGAAATTGGAGATCAGCCCTGGCGGAGTCAAAGTCTGCAGTCAATTTCAAGGGTAGGAAAAGCCTCCTTATCACCTTGCTGGGGTGCTGCGTCCCTGTTCCAAATCACGTCATTTTCTCCAGGCTGCTGATTAAGCAGCTCTCCTGCCAATAGCGCTGATGTAATGAGCTTTCTCGGGGTTTGGTCGCACGCATTAGTGGTACCACCCCTCAGAATCCAGTCTTCTTCCAGGCAAGCTCGCTGGTTGTCTTCATGAACACCTTCAGGGTGTTCAGATATTGCAAAATGATCATTTCACAGGGAAAAAAACTTTTTTTAAAAAAAGAAATTAATCTCCCTATATGCTTTTTTGTGACGTTAAGTAGATGTGATGATTCTTGTTTTAAGCCTCCTTCCCATATCATCTTTTAGCTGCCAGAGACACCAATTACAACTACATCAAGTTGGGAAAAAAATCAAGAATCGCCAATCAGCTGCCAAGTAATCTGGAATGATTAAGCATGTACCAATTTGTTGCATATTTGTAGTATCGGATTTAATACCAAAGAGAGATATTAGCTCAGCAGATGTTCTTCTTCTACCCTATGCACTTCGTTTCTTTTCCTTTTTTTTTTCCTTACAGACAAAAATTAGAAGGGGAAAATCACCGTAGGCTCTGTATATTTTTATTAACCCATCTGAGGGTTATTTAATTTGATGTAGGTATTTCCAAGAACACGTGATTGACAGCAGCGAGGGCTTTCCTCACTCAAAGAATATTGTAGCCCACGTTGCTTGCTTCCACCAAAAGATTTATTTGACCACCCAGAGATGGTTCAATTCGAATGGAAGCAATTAATACGTTCTTCCTGAAATCTCTCGGGAAGAGTTCTTTGGCAAAATCAAATCCAGGAAGCAACTTCAAAAACTCAAGACTGCACTGGGGCGTTTCCCCCCATCAAATCACCTTCATTTGCACAGATTATATGAGCCTGGAATTCCATTCTGATATTCCAAGTTAGACCCCAAAGATAATGGATTTCTCAAAAAGGCTTTGATGCAACTGGGGTTTTTTGGGTGATGTGAGAAATATATCACTCCGATAACATCTTTTCCTCTCGATGAAGGCAAGCAATGTTGACCTTGTCTTCACTGTCGTTTTTTTATTTGCTTTGCAGCACCCATCACCTATCTTGACTATGGAAATGTCTCCAAAGCAGGTAATTCACAAGTAGTAATTTTAGCCCTTGATAAGTGGCTTTTTTAAAGCCCATGTCTTAATATTTTATGATTTAATATTTGCTCAGGGTTCTCCCCCTCCCCCAATCTTACCATTTCTGGTCCTTCCTGCCACAATTACTCCTTTTGATTTGAAATCCATTGCCACATTCCACATGAACACTCTACGTTCATTGCATATTAACAGAAAAACAGCAAAAGAGGGAAGCAATAAAGAAGATGTTGCATGCATACCTATTACTTTGATTCCTCCTTGATGACAGCTTTTATGCAGAACCTATTTGTCACATTGATACATCAGTAACTGTATTATGCCAATCCAATCATGTGCGCTCAGAAGTTAGTCTTAGTGGCTTCAGCAGGATTTATGCTATCATAAACAAATTTAGGGTTCCATCTTCAATTGGAGCAATTGTTTTTATCTCTCTAGACTTGGTCATTTGCCAAGATTACAGGGAACTTCGTACCTTTGTCAACATTTAAATCAGGGTTTCTTAACTTTAGCCACTTTAAGATGGATGGACTTCAACTCCCAGAATTCCCCAGCCAGCATGCTGGGAGTTGAAATCGATACACTTTCAATTTCAACACTTGAAGAGCCATGAAAAGCTTGGATAATCTCAACCCTTTTAGAAACTCAGGTTCATTAATTAGAAGATAGAGAGGTCTGGAGTTTGCTACTTAATCAGTTTGGGTCTCTGTTTGCAGCTCCTTTAGATTTCTGTCAGTGTTGTATTTTTTTACTGTGTTATTGGCCCTGCATTTTCAAACAGACTTGAGGCCAAATCTAAATAATTGGAAGTGATGCCATGATGTTAAACAGGTGAACTGTTTAAGTTCACTGTTTAAGAAAGACTTGAAAGTCTCTGGGGGGAAAATACCACGGTTTTCTGCTTATCTTTATAACAAAAACGTTGCAGAAAATATTGTGTATTGTGAGCCAATGAACCCAGTTAAAGCAAATTGATTTAACTATGTGGAAAGAGGCCACTTCATGGATTCTGTTCCCTGCTCTATAAACCATAATATTGGTGGAGATGTTTCTACAATAGCAGATTTTTTTAAAGTACTTTAATGCTATAAATCAAGTTGTTTCTCATTTGTTTGCCTTGTCTGATTTGTAGCAACAATTGTACATTGGTTCCAGAGATGGGCTAGCTCAGCTTTCCTTGCACAGATGTCACACGTATGGGAAGGCGTGTGCTGACTGCTGCCTTGCCAGAGACCCCTATTGTGCTTGGGATGGAAATTCCTGCTCCAGGTACACCCCAACCTCCAAAAGGTAAGGCACCTACCCTTCTGAACTGCCAATGGCGGCTTGTTCCTTGAACCAGAGTCAGGATGAAGCCCATTTCCCGAGGAGCATATTAGGATCCCCCTTCCCTCTTTCTCCATTGATGTCTGCCATCATTTTCCCTACTAGGTTCTCTACAGGGTCCTTGGTTGCCTATTCACATTAGAACAAAATCTCTCTGAAACATTATGTCAACAAAAGCCATAATTAAAATGAGATCAGATGTGACTGCAATGGGGCATTGCCGAAATGGAGTTCCTAATAAATGACTAGATTTCTTTTGAAACTTGGCTTCAGGCTCATGAATTAATTAGGGCACCTTTCGGAAACCTGACACCTTAGCAATTAGATAGAAAGGGTCATTTTTGATCCCTTATTTGATGTAATCTCAGGTTCCATGGCAAGATCTCTTGGCAACTCTTTCTTTGCTTGAAAGAAATCCTGGGATTGAAGAGACAAGAAAGTTGGAACGGGGACGAGTTGAAAGATCTTCTTAAAGTACCAAGTGCTTTATAATCTTCTTCAGGGTCATTCTTTGCATCTTAGACCCTTCCTCAGCATGCACAGCCAATGAACCTCCATACTTTGGTTCAGTCCATGAATTGTCTTCCTGAAATATAATATACATACCAAGCAGGAACATGAGAATTTCATCTTAAATGCATTTGAGCAGTGATTTGTTCATAAGCAACTTACTTGTTCATTTTCTAGGCGTGCAAGGAGGCAAGATGTGAAATACGGAGACCCGATTACCCAGTGCTGGGATGTTGAAGACAGTAAGTATTGGGTCGATGTTCTTGTTTCCAACATCTCTCGCTTCAGTTGAGAAGATGGCAACCTTCATTAATCCAACCAAAAGTGATGGCTGTTTTTTGGTTGTTTTGTTTTAAAAACTTAGGGTGTTCCTTTCTGTCTCAGAGGGATGCCTCAGTCTCTTCTGGATGCTGAGAATTGTATTCTTGACTCTTGTTATTCTGTGATGAGCTAATGAGGTTGTCCATTCCGAAGAATACAGTTGAATAAAGAAGAATATTTGTAGCCAGGATTGAATAGAGTAGAGTAGAACAGAACAGAACAGAACTTCTTTATTGGCCGAGTGTGATCAGATACACAAGACATTTGCCTCCTGGGCATAAGCTTAAGTGTACAAATTGGCGCCCATATTCCATAACCAAAGGTGGCTGGTGTACCGTTACGCTTTCTGAATATTGGAACCTACTCTTTAGCTATCAGCAGCAGCCATCAAGAGGTGGGAAAAAAGTCCTTCTGGAACCCAAATGGGAAAATATTGTGTCTACAAGAATGCGGGAAGACTTGTGGTGAGGCAGCCAAATGAGGAGAGTTTCCTGAAGCAAAATCATCAAATACACTTCTTACATTTTCTTACTTAATTTCGCACAGCGACTCTTGGATCGAAATGTGCAATCTTAGTTCCAATTAGCCAGCAATCCAGGATTCCTTCTCATTCTTCCCTGCTAATTGAGCCATCTCCTCCTCAACAAGAGCTTACTGTCTCCCAGAAATCTCGCAGCTGATGCTCCTTCCAGACGGACCGGCTCCCTGGGAACAGGTCCTGGCTCTGGGCATTATCTAGAGTCAGCCTTGTGGTTAGGCTGAGATTTCTGTAACAACATAACATAACATTTAAAATGTTCAGTTCAGAATATTTATTTTCCTTTCTTAGAGGAGTTTGGGGGAGGGGGGGGGTGAAACCACTGAAGCAAAACAGTATTTTTTCCTTAAAAGAAATGAGTATCTAATTCAGGGTTTCAATTACCGCACAGTTCTTTTCATATTAATCCTGTTGCGTGTGTGATTCAAAAGCCATGTACAGCCAGGGATGGAGTGCGGTCAGCATTAAAGCAAACGAGAGTTTCTCTGACTTTGTTTCTGTTGGGGAGGGGGGAGAAGAGCTGCCCCAGCGAAGATGTCAAAATGAAATTTCCGGAAGGAACAGATTTTATTTGTCTTGCAAGGAAGCAGAGACGGAGGCTGATGGAGACGACACAAAATAAATCTTGGGAAAAAAATGAATTTCCAGCATGTGAGCTAGGGAAAAATACAGGACAATTTCTTTTTTTAAAGTTTCCTGTTGCACCGAACTTCAGTTTAGTTTCCCCATACCACAAAAGTGACCGTTCATTGTGCCCATTGTTTCTATCCTGTCCTTGAAAATATTCAGACTGTTCAAATTGTTCCCAAAATCATGTAGATGTCTTCATAGCAGAATTATTCCAGTACTTTTGAATGCTCAGAAGGTCCAATCGATTAAAGGTTACTCTATAACTCAAAAGGTCTTTCCATGAATTCCCTTTTTTCTCTCTCTAATGTCTTGAGAGCTGAGGTGGCGCAGTGGTTAAATGCAGCACTGCAGGCCACTTCAGCTGACTGCTATCTGCAGTTCGGCTGTTCAAATCTCACCGGCTCAGGGTTGACTCAGCCTTCCATCCTTCTGAGGTGGGTGAAATGAGGACCCGGATTGTTGTTGGGGGCGATATGCTGACTCTGTAAACCGCTTAGAGAGGGCTGAAAGCGGTATATAAGTCTAACTGCTATTGCTATTGCTATTCTTCTTTCCCAGAACATTTAATTTTCTCATACTTTTTGGCTAGTGTATTAATTTTTGTATGGGGGTCATCATGAGCCACGGTGGCGCAGTGGTTAGAGTGCAGTACTGCAGGCGGCTACTGCTGATCACCAACTGCCAGCAGTTTGACAGATCGATTCTTACTGGCTCCAGGTTGATTCCCGTCCTTCCAAAGTGGGTAAAATGAGGACCCAGATTGTTGGGGGTAAGAGGCTGACTCTGTAAACCACTTAGAGAGGGCTGTGAAAGCACAGGGAAGCGGAATATAAGTCTAAGTGCTTTCCTTTCCTTTCCTTCCCTTTCCTTCCCTCCCTCCCATGGTGGCACAGTGGTTAGACTGCAGCATTGTAGGCTAACTCTGCCCGCTGCCAGCAGTTCGATCCTGACCAGCTCCAGGTTGACTCAGCCTTCCCTTCTTCTGAGGAGGGTAAAATGAGGACCCAGATTGTTGGGGGCAAGAGGCTGACTCTGTAAACCACTTAGAGAGGGCTATGAAAGCACAGGGAAGCGGAATATAAGTCTAAGTGCTATGGCTAAGTGCTATCATGGTGATGTGCACTCCATGAATTGGAAAATATAATAATGAAATAATAATTGGGTTCTGATTCCAGGAAGAATGAATTAAAGACGTGGGAGGGTGACGTTGCTGTCCTTGTCTTAAGCCTCATTGAAAGCAATTCCTGAACAGAAGAATATCCATCACATCCTTCTTTCCCAGTGAGGGAGACCACAGGAAGTGACCAAGTCAGAGATGAGGGGCATTGTTAGAAATGGCTTATATTAATTTGAATGTTTGCGTGCCATTCTGCACCATTTGCTTTATTTAGCGGCTTATGCGCTGTTCTGCCATCTGCTCCACATCAGCCGTGTTTCCCTCACTC